GTGTGTGTGTGTGTGTGTGTGTGTGTGTGTGTGTGTGTGTGTGTGTGCAATGCAGACCTATGCCTTACTGTAAATGTTTCATAATCTGTACAAGCTTCTTTTGAAGTGATCTAAATTGGATTTTGAAAGGAATTAAAGAGTAAGATAAACCAGTGCCCAAAAGTTTTGCTTCCCACCTGCAATATTGGCAGGAAAGATTTACAAGGGGATTTGACCTCCTTAACTATTTCTTTTTGTCCCCTGCCCCAGTGAAAGAGCTACTTCTGCCTCAGCTAAATTGCGGAAGACACTTTGACTGCACTCTGACTTCTAGCTAAAGAGGTAGGGAGCTCTGCTCTTGTAGTCGGAGAGCAGCAGTCAGTTCTGTGGGATGCCCTCCTGCTGAAGGATGGATATGTAAAATTCTGTTGAATGATAGGAAATGCCCCCGAAGATTCCAGGCCAGTGATACCAGCATCACTTGGAGACGTGTTTGAAATGGACATTTGCAGGTCAGCATGAGGGTGAGGGGTATTGATAGACAGCAGAGCTTATGTGAATGAGTCACTTCTGTTTCTCCTATCAGGACAGCCTTTCTTGTCACATTAGAGTTCAGGAGGAACCGAACCAAAATGAACTTCCAGTACATGGCCTCCATACTAGAGACTTGAATCATCTGGAGACGGGCCAAGAAGTCAGTATTTTTCAACCCTTTCTAGGTGAGTCTAGGGAACAGAATCACGTTAATAGTGCAGATTTGCCAACCTCACAGTGTTGACTTTTTCTATGAGGGGCTTTCCTGAGCTTTACAGAGAGTTTAAAGGATCCCTAGTTTGTACGTACTAGATGCCTCCCGGATTCTTGCCCACACTGGAAAAAACAAAAATTACCAAAGATTACCAGATGTCTGGTCAGGAGCAAAATGCCCCAGTTGGGAACCACTACTCTATGGCAGTGTTTTTCAAAGTTTAGTGCCATACTGCCGAAGAGAAATATAAAACTCACCACATGTATAATTGAAATTTTTTCAGCAGCCACATTTAAGCAAACAAATTCAAACAGATGAAACCAATTTTATTAGCATAGTTAACCCAATACTCTCCTAGATCGATCTTTGGTCCTCACTTACTATAAACTGTGGATCTACATTGTGTTTCTCAAGTCCTTATCGTGGAGTGTGTGACGAACCCAGCACTTTCAGTTAGACTAACTATAGACAGTATCCTCAGTGGCCCGTGTGGCTAACAGCTGCTGCATTGGGCAGGTAAGGTTTGGTAGGCATCAGAGTCAGCCTGATGTGTTCCTTAACATACAAAAGGCAGACAGGCTTCCCTTCCCTGTGTGGCTTCTGGTTCCTTAGCAATGGAGTGGGAACTGAAAGTGGGAATTCTAAACAGAGGCCCCGGGAATGCCGGAGGTCTGTTGACTATCCTTTGGAAGCTACAGTAGAGAATCCCTAGTGGATTGATTACTCCAACATGAGTTGTTTTGTTTGCTAGGGCTTTTGTTAATTTATTTCGACCAGTGACAGTGACTTGGATCTTGGAAGACAGTGATAATCCTAGACCCTTCCCCAGGCCAACTGTATCTGCTCACAAGACTGGAATTTACATTTCTCAGGGGACCACTAAGAGCCCTGACTGGCAACAGGACACTTTCTTGAGCAAGACCTCCCCTGTCTGCACAGGGCTCTGTTTCTTGTTGACGTTTTTCTCCATTCTTTACTCTTTCCCCACGAGCTTCAAGGCTTTAGGATTCCTTTTTCTTTTCTGGTTATCGTTACCTATCAGCAGCCCGGAACAGTGTTTGCACACGTGAGTGCTTAGGTACTCACAGAATCAATGATACTATAAAAGGAGAGAAGGCAGGGAGCAATAGCAAGGTCTTTCGTCACATGTTTGGGGATGACCTGAATACCACGATTCAGGTTGGCTTGGCTCCTGTTGAGCTAGATGTGCGAGCAGCACTTCCTGTGATCTTCATCTGTTCCTAGGAATGTAAGTGACTCACTTCCAAACAATTGCCTGGGGGAAGCTTTCTATCACTCTCTGTGCTTGTCTTACGCTTCCTCCTGTCAAGGTGAATCCCTATTCTTTCCTTTATGGAACTGGAAATGATCCGCCTATCGGTGACATCACCAGCACCAGAGAAAGGCACCTGGGATGCCCTCCTCCAGGACTGTGAGTGCCAGCAAAGTGCTGGATGCCCAGGCTGAACCTCTCTGCAAAGCCAGTTGGCATGCCAAAGCTATCACTTCCAGATTGACTCAGTCCTACATAATGGCGCTCCATCACAGGGTGGAGCCTTGGTTCTGAAGCAGGCTGCTGAGGTCACAAATCCTGATGAAATTCCATTTTCCTTCACATGTAAAAATAGCCGGAGGCCTTGGATTGTTTTCGGTATTTTTTTCTTACACTTTTAACAGTGGAAAATAATTTCTCCAAGTTTCTTTTGGGAAAAGACACCTACTCCCACTACAGCACCCAGTACTAAGTTTTAATCTAAGCTTTAATGATAAGAACGTGTGGATTAACTGACAGATTTATGCGTTCTAGCTGCATATCTCTGTTCACAGACAACTCTAGACACATGGGAAGACAGCTTTGCAGCTTTGAGTGGTTACTTTCAAAGGAGGTGGCAGGAAACAGAAAGCCAGAATTGAGCTGCGCATCCCATGGCTGTGGTGGTCTTTGCTACTTGTTTCATGGTTGGTTTTTTTTTTTTTTTTTTTTTTGTTCATGGAGCTTTTTATTTCTTCATAGCACACTTTTGGGAAAAGCAAAAATCAAGAAAGTGTGCGATTGAAATCTACTTCGTTTTACAGGAGGGTGTAAATTTTAAGATTTTTTCCCCCTCTTTACCTAAAGGAATGTCTTAAGAAATTGATGTAAAACACCACTCACACCTAAAAGGAGATAGTTTATTCTGGAACCAAATATGAGAGACCACGTCCTTGGAACACAGGTTTAGCTTACCCCAAATTACATGTTTTATGTACAAATAAGTTCCTGAAGGTTTAGAGTAACAAAAGAAAGCCGTAAATCAAGACACTTTTCAAATACATCGGTAGGAACATCAGAGGGGCAGGTAACTGCCCAGAGAGGCCTCTCCCCCAGTTCTAGGCCTCAGATGCACCACGTAGCAGTCTTGGCTCTTTGATTAGTGTAGAATAGGGTTCCGTTACGTTAATATGTTCTGAAAAGTTTTTATCTCCCAGTCACAAGATATTACATCACAGAGATAGCTCTCTAGGGAGCTGAACAGAGCCCAGATAAACTGTCACTGGGCTCTGCACCTGCTACACTCCACCCTCTCCTCATCACTCGATCTACAATCAGCCAACTGGCCTCTGCAGACACAGCTTCTTTCTAGCAACTCTCGTTGAGAGTAAGTTACTGTCGTAAATTCCCAGACGCACTTGAGCAGCTGCTGCGTTGGTGAGGCTTGTGTATGCCTGTGATGAAAATGTCTACTTAATCGATAAAATATCCAACAGGAAGGGAGGTTTAGAGGGTGTGACAGCATTTGTTAATATGCCCTGACTCATTCACTAAATGTGGCAGGTGTGGGAATAGGTCAGTATTCTGGATATTCTTAAAACACAGTGGAAATATTCTTTTTTTTTTTTTTGCTTATGAATCTTTAGGTAAAAGTTGTGGTGTGCTATTTGCAGGAGACATGTCACTCAACTTCAATTCCCTTTGCTTTGCTATCCATGGCTGAAGGCATTCAAACAGGAAAACACCTCTTTTTCTCATCCCTTGGGTAATTTTAGAGTATCTCTGAACAGCTTTCCTGTTACTTCTGTTATTTAACAGTGAGGCATGATGGGGCTTCTAAGGGTGGGTGATTGCAGGAGAGTAAGGGTGTTGTTTCTGTGGCGGAGATTAAAAAAATGAAATAAAGGGAATGGTTTGTACCACAAGTGGGGAGGCTGACAAATTAGTTACAGAGAGAGAGCACAGGGGAAATATGCCTATGCCAAGACAAAAGCTAAAATTTCAAATGTTGTTAGTGTTTACCAGGAAAATATATGGTCAAGGAAACCCTGAAACTGTGCTGCCTCTGTACATTACCTCATTCGTCTCTATGGTAATCCCAACACACAGTGAACAGACATTCTTCCCATTGAGCAACAAGGAAGTGGAACATGAGGCAGTTAGTTATATAACTGACTTGGGGCGGGAGATGCAGTGAGAAGCTGAACCTGGAGAGCTTTGGGGGACTCCTTCAGTCATGTGATTGTTACCTGTCTTTTCCAGAGCTTGTGAGCACCTCACACCCCCTCGAGACAACCCTCAGATGCTCTGTGAGGAGCCGTGCATCCATCACCTCAGGCTGCTGAAAAGCTGGCTACAGGCTGGGTGACTCGTAACTCAAGCAATAATTGGCTCTGACAGACGCTCTTAGACGGGCTCAGCTGCCTGGAGGAGTCACATATCAACAGACCTGGCCCGCTACTCTCCGAAATCTGTAGCGCTGCTTGCAAGTTGTATAGTGATCTCCAGGTTTCTAGTATTCAGGAGCCGTGGTGGGTTTCCCCAAGCTAGGATAGGCTTTTATTGATATGGCTGTCTCTCAGTCAGCTCCATGTAAACCCTCATTCATACTCCTGTAGGTAAACCCAATAACTCAGTGATTCAGCAAATTGGACTTTGGTGGCATCATTACTTTGGTCTGTCATTGCGTCCTATTTAGCTTTAGTCCATGTTTGTCCTTATTGCCCCAGGAAGCGTATCATACGGCGTCACAGCATAATGGTCCTTCATCTGAAATTGTTGCTTCTGAGTTTCCATCGTGGAATAAAATAGGCACAGGCATTCATGCAAACATCTTGAAAATTAGCTGAGTTTTCCCTCTGGATAGAAGCATGTCTTCTTAGCTCTCTGGAGTATAGTGAGCACCATCACTTACTAAAATATTTCCTTTATTGAAATATTTAGTCACATTTTTTCATTGTGTGTGTGTGTGTGTGTGTGTGTGTGTGTGTGTGTGTGTATGTGTGTGTGCATCCCATAGAACAACTTGTGGGAGTCAGTACACTCCTTCCACCATGTTGACCACTCCTGGGATTAAGGTCAGGTGATTAAATTTTGGGTCAGGGTGTGCAGACCCTGCCTGGAACACTGTTTTTCTTTTTCTTTTATTCCAGTATTTGGAAGTGCTTATTCTGAAGATATCAAGATGTTTATAATTAATAATGAATTCTCGTGATTTCCTGTTGAAGCAGTAATTGGGGAAGATCAAGTTCTGATCTGAAGCTGACCTATATGTCTGGGAGTACGGTGGACAGGACTGAATGCAAATATTTGAAGAACAGTGCATCATTTGTTAAGACTGTTTCTGAAGCTTTTGTAAATCTTTACGTTCCATGTTTTACTCTATATAATTCCCTGTGAATTTGTGAATTCTCTATGAAAAAAATGGCAAGCACAGACATCTAGAAAGCACATGCTGATCAACTTATCTGCCTTGTCTGTCCAGTCTCTGTGATGGTGTCCCACAGGTCAACCTGCAGGCATCTGATTATCCTCCTTCAGTGGACATTCGAGTAAGAGCTGTGTCCCCAGTGACCTAAAATTTCCTATTCATCGTCTCTCAGTGCAGACGAATCTTTTATCAACTGACATTTTCAACCTGTCCTAACCTGTAGTAAGAGATGGGAGTTTACTAAAGCAATTTATTTATTTATTTATTTATTTTATAAGAAGGGTGTATAATTAACTAGAAATGGTGGCCACAAAGTTATAATTAAATCCTTGGTAACTTTTAACTTTCAGCAAATGTTTTACCACTTAATTAACAACTCAAAAGATGATTTATAATATGATTTATTAAATGCCTATTGCACGGAGCTGGGACAGCTAATGAGGCTAGTGATGGAGCCTCCTATTTACAGTGTCCCTTCCTTTTTTCCCCAAAAGTTTATTAAATTATAAAAGTTTCCATTTCCGCCCCTCCTCCCAACACCCTCCCACTCCCCCCACTCTCTCTCCTCCTCCCTCTCCATCCCTAAGAGCAGTAAGGGTTTCCTGCCCTGTGGGAAGTTCAAGTTCCTTCCCCCTCCCTCCAGGTCCAGGAAGGTGAGTATCCAGACAGACTGGATCCCAAAAATCCAGTATATGTAGAGGAAACAAGTCCCAGTGTCATTGTCAATGGCTTTTCAGAAAGACTCCAGGCCAGCCACATTCAGAGAATCTGGCCACATTCAGAGAATCTGATTGGATCACATGCTCACTCAATCCCAGTACTACTGGCCTTGGTGAACTCTCATTAGATCAGTCCCCTTGTATCAGTGGGTGATCACACCCCTCGCGGTCCTGATTTCCTTTTTCATGTTCTTCCTTCTTCTGCTCCTCATTTGGACCTTGGGGGGCTCAGTCCGGTGCTCCAATGTGGGTCTTTGTCTGTATCGCCATCCATCGTTGGATGAAGGTTCCCTCTGGTCTAAAGCAATATATTTATATATTTACTTTCTCTTCTCATTTCATTGTTATTTCTGATTTTCCTGATCATTTGAGAGAATTTTAAAAAGCTATGATCTTTTTTAAAGGTTACATCACAGCAACTCATTTTTAATGGTAAATCAATTTTATAATGGAATTCATCCAAATCCAAAAGAGTAAACTTGGCTGATCTTAAAGATTATAATCATAATCAGGAAGATAAATTCCATACACATGGAAAATCCTGTAAAATGAATATAAATGCTAAAACAATATTTTATAAATGAATTGATGAGTTTGTTTGATTGGATTATATAGCAATTCAGTCTTATTCTTTCCTGCTTGTAGAGGTCTTGATCTGGTTCTCAGAATTGGTTTGAGACTCCACCAAGCTAGTCCTAAATTCCATCGTATGTGTAACTAGAATCTCCACTTTTGGGTTTTATGTGATATTTATAATCAGGGATACAGACAGCATAAGAAGACTTTTGTGGAATAATCTTTGTTTACACTGTGAAGATGTGTCACTGTGGTTGGTTTAATAAAAAGCTTTATGGTCAATAGCTAGGCAGGATTTCTAGGCACAGAGGATGCTGGACAGAAGGGCAGAGTCATGAGGAGAAGCCAGGGATGCAGAGCAAGAAGCTTGGGCTTTACAAAGTAAAAGTAACTGAACCACATAAAAGAAAATAAATGAATAGAAATGGGTTAATTTAAGTTGTAAGAACTAGTTTCTAGCAAGCCTTAGCGATCAGCCAAGCTTTTTTTTTAAAGTTTATTAAAATATAAAAGTTTCCATTTTTGCCCCTCCTCCCAACACCCTCCCACTCCCCCCACTCCCTCTCCTCTTCCCTCTTCGTCCCTTAGGGCAGTCAGGGTTTCCTGCCCTGTGGGTAGTTCAAGTTCCTCCCCGCTCCCTCCAGGTCCAGGAAGGTGAGCATCCAAAAAGACTGGATCCCCAAAATCCAGTATATGCAGAGGAAACAAGTCCCAGTGTCATTGTCAATGGCTTTTCAGAAAGACTCCAGGCCAGCCACATTCAGAGAATCTGGCCACATTCAGAGAATCTGGCTGGATCACGTCCTCGTTCAGTCCCAGTCCAACTGGCCTTGGTAAACTCTCATTAGATCCGTTTCCTTGTATCAGTGGGTGATCGCATCCCTCGCGGTCCTGATTTCCTTTTTCATGTTCTTCCTCCTTCTGCTCCTCCTTTGGACCTTGGGGGGCTCAGTCCGGTGCTCCAATGTGGGTCTCCGTCTGCATCGCCATCCATTGTCTGATGAAGGTTCCCTCTGATCTTGCCCTCCCTGCTCACGTTCTTCTTCCTCCAAGCTTTTATAATTAATAAGAAATCTCCATGTCATTTATTTGGGAACTCGCTGGCAGAACGGAGGAAGACTAGCTACACAAGACTATTTTAATCTTAAGTCTTCAGAAATATAAAAAAGTGTAGCCTTAGAAATGGAAAACATTGTTTTATTATTTGTTTCTTCAAGATGGAACTTGCTCTTGTAGACCAGGCTGACCTTGAACTCACGTAGATCCACCTGCCTCTGCCTCCCGAGAGCTGGGATTAAAGGCGTGGGCCACCACCACTCGGCAGGATAGCTTATTTCTATTAGCACATGTTAATTCTACATACCAGAGGTCTCTGACCCAGTTTCCTTTTTAATGCTGTGGCAAACACCAAGAGCAAAACCACCTTGAAGAAGAAAAGATGTATTTAGCTTATATCTTGGGCACTTACTGCTCACACGTCAGCATCTTCTGAATACCTAACCAGCATTTCTAACAAGAGGACTGAAAAATACATATTAGTACATGTGTATGTGTGATGTGTGTTCGTGTGATGGTTAGAGGTCATTTAAGGAGCCTTCTTTCTGTCCTGGTTTACTTTTGAGACTGCTTCCCTTACTTGTGCCTGGAGTTCACCTATTGGTTAGGTTGGGCGGTCATTGAACACCAGGGACAAACCTCCCTCTACGTCTTCAGCAGTACATCTATCTGCTCGTGAATGCTACCACATCTGGCTTTCGAGGTTACCCTTAGATCCTCACGCTAGTGAGGCTACTGACCTATTTCCACACCTGCTAGTAACCTGCTTTAGTAGAAGACTTTCTGATTTAAGAGGAATCTAATATATTCTTAATTAGAACCACCACTTCAATATAGTTTTAATTTTTTCAAAGTGCATCCCATCTTAGTTTGCTCTGTAACACACAGACAATGCAAGTGTTTGGCCGTCATCTTGCAGATACGGTGTTCAGTAACGAAACTCTGTCAATGCCTCTTAGTGTTTTGTTGAAAATAGACGCAATTAAAAAGAGTTAGGTGCCACTTTGCCATATAAAGACACTCAAGACAAGGTCTGTAGAGAAGCAGCCATGAAATATTCGTGGAACGAGGCACTGGAACACTATGTGTCACGTGTGGTTCTTTAAGCACAGTTTATGCAAGAAGTTAGCATTCATTGGCTGTGTTCAGAGGTAGGATTTTGGACCCTCCTAAATTACAAATAGGACAACAACTGACTTTTGACCAATGTCATAACTGTTCATTAAGAACTAGAGGTCTGGGTCTCTGTGGTTTCTTATGCTGCTGAGGCAAAAGTGGAGTTATTTGAGTTATTCGAGTTATTTCCTGTGTCTTGTACATCACGCTATTCACTAGTGAGGAATCAGCATTCTAACCATGCTCATTAATGAGTGAATGACCAGAAAATTCATTTGTGATTTTCAAAATCTACTCCTTCCCTGCTTGGAGCACTTTAATCTTACTTCATTAGGCAAGACATTAATTCAAGCATGACCTCTTCTTGGAAGTATTTCCAGTTCTTGAAGGGCCTTTCCTAGTCAAAGTCCAAAGTAAGGACCTTTGCCATTACCTGGAGGCCTGTTAGAATTGTAGATCAGAGCTGGGAGATGACTAAGTCGGCAAACTGTGTGCCACGAAAACACAAGCATCTGATTCCAAGGACCCACATAACAAGAGTCACATGAATTATGACCTCTGTACATACCTGTTCCATAATGAAAATATGTATCGATGTACTAGTAGCTAAACGAATCTTCTAAAACTAGAAATCAAGATGAAGAAATTTAAGAAAGATCAGTAGCTATGCTATTCAATATAGAATATATTCTCTTGGTTCAAAAACTTTAAAAAGGAGAGAAAAATCATATGTGGAAAGTTTTCGGGTCATTCATTTTTCTCTTCCACAATGTTGTCTTCCCCTAGGTGACTGATGCTAGAGTTTCAGATGTAAACTGATAAATTAAAAGCACGTCCAAAAGGGGTGTTTTCTCAACAACTGCATTTTAATGTGTATTTCTAAAAATTGAACCTCCTATCTCTATTGGTATGATGAATATGTTTTATTTCTTTTATTTTTGAGATTATAGTATAGTTACAATGTTTTTCTTCTTCTTTCTTCCTGCCGCATATACCTTGCCTTGTTCTCTTTCAAATTCAAATTCATGGCCTCTTTTTTTCACTAAATATTGTTATCTCTCTCTCTTTCTATATGTATGTATGTATGTATGTATGTATGTATATATAATCTCCTTGGAGGAGAGTATACAATCACTACTTCAAGTATATCCCTAACTGCACTCTAAATATTTGTTCTTATGACCACAGATTTCATAATGCAACGCGGAGAGACCATTACAGAAGAGTACAAACAATTAAAATGCA